CTGACAGACATGTTACACCTGACATAGACAGATATGTTACACCTGACATAGACCTGTTCCACCTGACAGACATGTTACACCTGACCTAGACAGACATGTCACACCTGACATAGACAGACATGTTATACCTGATATAGACAGATATGTTACACCTGACAGACATGTTACACCTGACATAGACAGACATGTTACACCTGACATAGACAGACATGTCCCACCTGACATAGACAGACATGTTACACCTGACATAGACAGACATGTTACACCTGACATAGACAGATATGTTACACCTGACATAGACATGTTACACCTGACATAGACAGACATGTTACACCTGACATAGACAGACATGTTACACCTGACAGACATGTTACACCTGACATAGACAGACATGTTACACCTGACAGACATGTTACACCTGACATAGACAGATATGTTACACCTGACATAGACAGACATGTTACACCTGACAGACATGTTACACCTGACATAGACAGATATGTTACACCTGACATAGACAGACATGTTACACCTGACATAGACAGACATGTTACACCTGACATAGACCTGTTACACCTGACAGACATGTTACACCTGACATAGACAGACATGTTACACCTGACATAGACAGACATGTTACACCTGACCTAGACAGACATGTCACACCTGACATAGACAGACATGTTACACGTGACATAGACAGATGTTACACCTGACATAGACAGACATGTTACACCTGACATAGACAGACATGTTACACCTGACATAGACAGACATGTTACACCTGACAGACATGTTACACCTGACCTAGACAGACATGTCACACCTGACATAGACAGACATGTTACACGTGACATAGACAGATGTTACACCTGACAGACAGATATGTTACACCTGACATAGACAGACATGTTACACCTGACATAGACAGACATGTTACACCTGACATAGACAGACATGTTACACCTGACATAGACAGATATGTTACACATGACATAGACAGACATGTTACACCTGACATAGACAGACATGTTACACCTGACATAGACCTGTTACACCTGACATAGACAGACATGTCCCACCTGACATAGACAGACATGTTACACCTGACATAGACAGACATGTTACACCTGACATAGACCTGTTACACCTGACAGACATGTTACACCTGACCTAGACAGACATGTCACACCTGACATAGACAGACATGTTACACGTGACATAGACAGATGTTACACCTGACAGACAGATATGTTACACCTGACATAGACAGACATGTTACACCTGACATAGACAGACATGTTACACCTGACATAGACAGACATGTTACACCTGACATAGACAGACATGTTACACGTGACATAGACAGATATGTTACACCTGACATAGACAGACATGTTACACCTGACATAGACAGACATGTTACACCTGACATAGACAGATATGTTACACCTGACATAGACAGACATGTTACACCTGACAGACATGTTACACCTGACATAGACAGATATGTTACACCTGACATAGACAGACATGTTACACCTGACATAGACAGACATGTTACACCTGACATAGACCTGTTACACCTGACAGACATGTTACACCTGACCTAGACAGACATGTCACACCTGACATAGACAGACATGTTACACGTGACATAGACAGATATGTTACACCTGACATAGACAGACATGTTACACCTGACATAGACAGACATGTTACACGTGACATAGACAGATATGTTACACCTGACATAGACAGACATGTTACACCTGACATAGACAGACATGTTACACCTGACATAGACAGACATGTTACACCTGACAGACATGTTACACCTGACATAGACAGACATGTTACACCTGACATAGACAGACATGTTACACCTGACATAGACAGACATGTTACACCTGACATAGACAGACATGTTACACCTGACATAGACAGACATGTTACACCTGACATAGACAGACATGTTACACCTGACATAGACAGACATGTTACACCTGACATAGACAGACATGTTACACCTGACATAGACAGACATGTTACACCTGACATAGACAGACATGTTACACCTGACATAGACATGTTACACCTGACATAGACAGACATGTTACACCTGACATAGACAGACATGTTACACGTGACATAGACAGATATGTTACACCTGACATAGACAGACATGTTACACCTGACATAGACAGACATGTTACACCTGACATAGACAGACATGTTACACCTGACATAGACAGACATGTTACACCTGACATAGACAGACATGTTACACCTGACATAGACAGACATGTTACACGTGACATAGACAGATATGTTACACCTGACATAGACAGACATGTTACACCTGACATAGACAGACATGTTACACCTGACATAGACAGACATGTTACACCTGACAGACATGTTACACCTGACATAGACAGACATGTTACACCTGACATAGACAGACATGTTACACCTGACATAGACAGACATGTTACACCTGACATAGACAGACATGTTACACCTGACATAGACAGACATGTTACACCTGACATAGACAGATATGTTACACCTGACATAGACCTGTTACACCTGACAGACATGTTACACCTGACCTAGACAGACATGTCACACCTGACATAGACAGACATATTACACCTGACATAGACAGATATGTTACACCTGACAGACATGTTACACCTGACATAGACAGACATGTTACACCTGACATAGACAGACATGTTACACCTGACATAGACAGACATGTTACACCTGACATAGACAGACATGTTACACCTGACATAGACAGACATGTTACACCTGACATAGACAGACATGTTACACCTGACATAGACAGACATGTTACACCTGACATAGACAGACATGTTACACCTGACATAGACAGACATGTTACACCTGACATAGACAGAACTGTTACACCTGACATAGACATGTTACACCTGACATAGACATGTTACACCTGACATAGACAGACATGTTACACCTGACAGACAGAAATGCCCCATCACCATTTGATTTATAAGCAGGGTGCTTGATTAGTAATACATCAGCATTTTACCAATACTTGTTGCATGTAATGTAAATTGGAAAACTCTAATAATTAAAAAATAAATATTCAAAGCAGATTTTGGTTTTAAAAGAATACAATTTTAAGAGTCGTACGATACACTAAGACAGATGGCTGACACCAGACACAGATGGCTGACATAAGCAGCACCAGGGAGCCAACTATATATTTTTTAAAAATCTTACTGTACCGGTGTATATTGATTTTGTGACACATATTTTTAAAAAATCTTACTGTACCGGTGTATATTGCTTTTTGTGACACATATTTTTAAAAAATCTTACTGTACCGGTGTATATTGATTTTGTGAAACATATTTTTAAAAAATCTTACTGTACCGGTGTATATTGATTTTGTGACACATTTTTAAAAAATCTTACTGTACTGGTGTATATTGATTTTGTGACACATAATTTAAAAAATCTTACTGTACCGGTGAATATTGATTTTGTGACACATATTTTTAAAAATCTTACTGTACCGGTGTATATTGATTTTGTGACACATTTTTAAAAAATCTTACTGTACTGGTGTATATTGATTTTGTGACACACAATTTAAAAAATCTTACTGTACCGGTGTATATTGATCTTGTGACACATATTTAAAAAATCTTACTGTACATGTGTATATTGATTTTGTGACACATAATTTAAAAAATCTTACTGTACCGGTGTATATTGATTTTGTGACACATATTTTTAAAAATCTTACTGTACCGGTGTATATTGATTTTGTGACACATTTTTAAAAAATCTTACTGTACTGGTGTATATTGATTTTGTGACCCACAATTTAAAAAATCTTACTGTACCGGTGTATATTGATCTTGTCACACATATTTTTAAAAAATCTTACTGTACCGGTGTATATTGATCTTGTCACACATATTTTTTAAAAATCTTACTGTACCGGTGTATATTGATTTTGTGACACATTTTTAAAAAATCTTACTGTACTGGTGTATATTGATTTTGTGACACATAATTTAAAAAATCTTACTGTACCGGTGTATATTGATTTTGTGACACATATTTTTAAAAATCTTACTGTACCGGTGTATATTGATTTTGTGACACATTTTTAAAAAATCTTACTGTACTGGTGTATATTGATTTTGTGACACACAATTTAAAAAATCTTACTGTACCGGTGTATATTGATCTTGTGACACATATTTAAAAAATCTTACTGTACATGTGTATATATATTTTGTGACACATAATTTAAAAAATCTTACTGTACCGGTGTATATTGATTTTGTGACACATATTTTTAAAAATCTTACTGTACCGGTGTATATTGATTTTGTGACACATTTTTAAAAAATCTTACTGTACTGGTGTATATTGATTTTGTGACACACAATTTAAAAAATCTTACTGTACCGGTGTATATTGATCTTGTCACACATATTTTAAAAAAATCTTACTCTACCGGTGTATATTGATTTTGTCAAGATAACAGAATTGTGAAGTAAAAAATGCAACTTTCCAATAAAGCAAACAATTACATAAAATACATGGATTGTCATGAATCATGTAAAGAAACATCTTGTAAGGAACAATTAAGTAGATTAGTCTTAAATACAATGTATAACATTCAGCAAAAATAATTATTTTATAAATTACTTAAATGTAAACATTGGCTATCTTGGAAAATATATTGCATAAAAAATATCACTAAAAGTAGTTGCATTCTTTCAAAATGAATAGTTTAAAAAAGTTGTAATAAAACCTGTTTTAGAATAAAACAGTTTTACAAAATGTCAGCTTGTGGACTATAGGAAAAACCCCTGAATACTTAAACCACTCTTATTACACCCCACACACACATACACTCCCCCACCCAGAAAACACTAGGATACCACACCTATATTTGCCCCTCCCCCACACCCATATTGGCCCCTCCCATCACACTTATGACCACCCCTATTGGCTGTGTTCACAGTTCAAACATTTTAACACCAATAAAAGAGATCAAATGCAATTTAAACAATTTTATCCATAGTTTCCCAGTCAATGAGATTTGTACATTTTGTGTAAATAGATGGTACACCTCCCACAAGTTGAAGTGAATGTTTAGATTGGTACACCTCCCTCATGCTTTAGTTGAAGTGAATGTTTATTAGATATATTTATATCACTGTTGAATGGGTGTCAGCATGGGTAACTACATGTAGCCTTACTCATGCTGCCATAGAAGGGGTGTCAGCATGGGTAACTACATGTAGTGCTACTCATGCTGCCATTGAAGGGGTGTCAGCATGGGTAACTACATGTAGTGCTACTCATGCTGCCATAGAAGGGGTGTCAGCATGGGTAACTACATGTAGTGCTACTCATGCTGCCATTGAAGGGGTGTCAGCATGGGTAACTACATGTAGCCTTACTCATGCTGCCATTGAAGGGGTGTCAGCATGGGTAACTACATGTAGTGCTACTCATGCTGCCATTGAAGGGGTGTCAGCATGGGTAACTACATGTAGTGCTACTCATGCTGCCATTTGAAGATAGTTATGTAAAAACAACATATGGTGTAACCTAATTACATAAAATCAATTCTATTTTTTTTAAATGTGTGTAACATAATTACATAAAATCAATTCTATTACTTTTTTTATAAATTTTTGTCAAGTTGAAACAATGAACTTGCATAATGTTATGACAGGAAGTGTGTTAATGAGAGCTCTTTAATGCTAGTGCTATAAAAGTCTATTGTGTCTTTCCTTTGACAAGGCTTATGACTTGTAATAAGGGCAGCAGAAGAAGAATCCCTCCAATGGTGTAGCAGATGTGAGCACCAAAGCCCCAGTACACTGAAGACAGAAATGTGTTGTTTACTTTCCATTCAATGTTCAGTGCTGCTAACTTCTTTTTTTTATACATAGTAAACAAATCAAAATAAGAATTTCATTTTTTTTTAATTTAAAACCAAGCCAGTACCTACCAAATGAGGCTAAAATTGATATTCTCTCACCCAGGGAGTACCTACCAAACGAGGCTAAAATTGATATTCTCTCACCCAGAAAGTACCTACCAAACGAGGCTAAAATTGATATTCTCTCACCCAGAAAGTACCTACCAAATGAGGCTAAAATTGATATTCTCTCACCCAGGGAGTACCTACCAAACGAGGCTAAAATTGATATTCTCTCACCCAGAAAGTACCTACCAAACGAGGCTAAAATTGATATTCTCTCACCCAGAAAGTACCTACCAAATGAGGCTAAAATTGATATTCTCTCACCCAGAAAGTACCTACCAAACGAGGCTAAAATTGATATTCTCTCACCCAGAAAGTACCTACCAAACGAGGCTAAAATTGATATTCTCTCACCCAGGGAGTACCTACCAAATGAGGCTAAAATTGATATTCTCTCACCCAGAAAGTACCTACCAAACGAGGCTAAAATTGATATTCTCTCACCCAGAAAGTACCTACCAAACGAGGCTAAAATTGATATTCTCTCACCCAGAAAGTACCTACCAAACGAGGCTAAAATTGATATTCTCTCACCCAGAAAGTACCTACCAAACGAGGCTAAAATTGATATTCTCTCACCCAGGGAGTACCTACCAAATGAGGCTAAAATTGATATTCTCTCACCCAGAAAGTACCTACCAAACGAGGCTAAAATTGATATTCTCTCACCCAGAAAGTACCTACCAAATGAGGCTAAAATTGATATTCTCTCACCCAGGGAGTACCTACCAAATGAGGCTAAAATTGATATTCTCTCACCCAGAAAGTACCTACCAAACGAGGCTAAAATTGATATTCTCTTCCCCAGCCAGTACCTACCAAACGAGGCTAAAATTGATATTCTCTCACCCAGGGAGTACCTACCAAATGAGGCTAAAATTGATATTCTCTCACCCAGGGAGTACCTACCAAACGAGGCTAAAATTGATATTCTCTCACCCAGGGAGTACCTACCAAACAAGGCTAAAATTGATATTCTCTCACCCAGTGAGTAGCCTACCTACCAAACGAGGCTAAAATGGGTGCTATGGCTCGAGCTAGTGCTCCCAGAGACCTGAAGATTCCCATGATGGTTCCCTTCTCATGATCTCCCCCATAGGTAGACACCAGAGTGGTTAGACATGGCACCACAGTTGCTGATGCTGAAATAGGTAGACACCAGAGTGGTTAGACATGGCACCACAGTTGCTGATGCTGAAATAGGTAGACACCAGAGTGGTTAGACATGGCACCACAGTTGCTGATGCTGAAATAGGTAGACACCAGAGTGGTTAGACATGGCACCACTGTTGCTGATGCTGAAATAGGTAGACACCAGAGTGGTTAGACATGGCACCACAGTTGCTGATGCTGAAATAGGTAGACACCAGAGTGGTTAGACATGGCACCACAGTTGCTGAAATAGGTAGACACCAGAGTGGTTAGACATGGCACCACAGTTGCTGATGCTGAAATAGGTAGACACCAGAGTGGTTAGACATGGCACCACAGTTGCTGAAATAGGTAGACACCAGAGTGGTTAGACATGGCACCACTGTTGCTGATGCTGAAATAGGTAGACACCAGAGTGGTTAGACATGGCACCACAGTTGCTGATGCTGAAATAGGTAGACACCAGAGTGGTTAGACATGGCACCACAGTTGCTGAAATAGGTAGACACCAGAGTGGTTAGACATGGCACCACTGTTGCTGATGCTGAAATAGTTAGACACCAGAGTGGTTAGACATGGCACCACAGTTGCTGATGCTGAAATAGGTAGACACCAGAGTGGTTAGACATGGCACCACTGTTGCTGAAATAGGTAGACACCAGAGTGGTTAGACATGGCACCACAGTTGCTGAAATAGGTAGACACCAGAGTGGTTAGACATGGCACCACTGTTGCTGAAATAGGTAGACACCAGAGTGGTTAGACATGGCACCACAGTTGCTGAAATAGGTAGACACCAGAGTGGTTAGACATGGCACCACAGTTGCTGATGCTGAAATAGGTAGACACCAGAGTGGTTAGACATGGCACCACAGTTGCTGATGCTGAAATAGGTAGACACCAGAGTGGTTAGACATGGCACCACTGTTGCTGATGCTGAAATAGGTAGACACTAGAGTGGTTAGACATGGCACCACTGTTGCTGAAATAGGTAGACACCAGAGTGGTTAGACATGGCACCACAGTTGCTGATGCTGAAATAGGTAGACACCAGAGTGGTTAGACATGGCACCACAGTTGCTGATGCTGAAATAGGTAGACACCAGAGTGGTTAGACATGGCACCACAGTTGCTGAAATAGGTAGACACCAGAGTGGTTAGACATGGCACCACAGTTGCTGATGCTGAAATAGGTAGACACCAGAGTGGTTAGACATGGCACCACAGTTGCTGATGCTGAAATAGGTAGACACCAGAGTGGTTAGACATGGCACCACAGTTGCTGATGCTGAAATAGGTAGACACCAGAGTGGTTAGACATGGCACCACAGTTGCTGAAATAGGTAGACACCAGAGTGGTTAGACATAGCACCACAGTTGCTGAAATAGGTAGACACCAGAGTGGTTAGACATGGCACCACAGTTGCTGAAATAGGTAGACACCAGAGTGGTTAGACATGGCACCACAGTTGCTGAAATAGGTAGACACCAGAGTGGTTAGACATGGCACCACAGTTGCTGAAATAGGTAGACACCAGAGTGGTTAGACATGGCACCACAGTTGCTGATGCTGAAATAGGTAGACACCAGAGTGGTTAGACATGGCACCACTGTTGCTGATGCTGAAATAGGTAGACACTAGAGTGGTTAGACATGGCACCACAGTTGCTGAAATAGGTAGACACCAGAGTGGTTAGACATAGCACCACAGTTGCTGAAATAGGTAGACACCAGAGTGGTTAGACATGGCACCACAGTTGCTGAAATAGGTAGACACCAGAGTGGTTAGACATAGCACCACAGTTGCTGAAATAGGTAGACACCAGAGTGGTTAGACATGGCACCACAGTTGCTGATGCTGAAATAGGTAGACACCAGAGTGGTTAGACATGGCACCACAGTTGCTGATGCTGAAATAGGTAGACACCAGAGTGGTTAGACATGGCACCACAGTTGCTGATGCTGAAATAGGTAGACACCAGAGTGGTTAGACATGGCACCACAGTTGCTGAAATAGGTAGACACCAGAGTGGTTAGACATAGCACCACAGTTGCTGAAATAGGTAGACACCAGAGTGGTTAGACATGGCACCACAGTTGCTGAAATAGGTAGACACCAGAGTGGTTAGACATGGCACCACAGTTGCTGATGCTGAAATAGGTAGACACCAGAGTGGTTAGACATGGCACCACTGTTGCTGATGCTGAAATAGGTAGACACTAGAGTGGTTAGACATGGCACCACTGTTGCTGAAATAGGTAGACACCAGAGTGGTTAGACATGGCACCACAGTTGCTGAAATAGGTAGACACCAGAGTGGTTAGACATGGCACCACTGTTGCTGAAATAGGTAGACACCAGAGTGGTTAGACATGGCACCACAGTTGCTGAAATAGGTAGACACCAGAGTGGTTAGACATGGCACCACAGTTGCTGATGCTGAAATAGGTAGACACCAGAGTGGTTAGACATGGCACCACAGTTGCTGATGCTGAAATAGGTAGACACCAGAGTGGTTAGACATGGCACCACTGTTGCTGATGCTGAAATAGGTAGACACTAGAGTGGTTAGACATGGCACCACTGTTGCTGAAATAGGTAGACACCAGAGTGGTTAGACATGGCACCACAGTTGCTGATGCTGAAATAGGTAGACACCAGAGTGGTTAGACATGGCACCACAGTTGCTGATGCTGAAATAGGTAGACACCAGAGTGGTTAGACATGGCACCACAGTTGCTGATGCTGAAATAGGTAGACACCAGAGTGGTTAGACATGGCACCACAGTTGCTGATGCTGAAATAGGTAGACACCAGAGTGGTTAGACATGGCACCACTGTTGCTGATGCTGAAATAGGTAGACACCAGAGTGGTTAGACATGGCACCACTGTTGCTGAAATAGGTAGACACCAGAGTGGTTAGACATGGCACCACTGTTGCTGATGCTGAAATAGGTAGACACCAGAGTGGTTAGACATGGCACCACAGTTGCTGAAATAGGTAGACACCAGAGTGGTTAGACATGGCACCACAGTTGCTGAAATAGGTAGACACCAGAGTGGTTAGACATGGCACCACAGTTGCTGATGCTGAAATAGGTAGACACCAGAGTGGTTAGACATGGCACCACAGTTGCTGATGCTGAAATAGGTAGACACCAGAGTGGTTAGACATGGCACCACAGTTGCTGATGCTGAAATAGGTAGACACCAGAGTGGTTAGACATGGCACCACTGTTGCTGATGCTGAAATAGTTAGACACCAGAGTGGTTAGACATGGCACCACTGTTGCTGATGCTGAAATAGGTAGACACCAGAGTGGTTAGACATGGCACCACTGTTGCTGATGCTGAAATAGGTAGACACCAGAGTGGTTAGACATGGCACCACAGTTGCTGATGCTGAAATAGGTAGACACCAGAGTGGTTAGACATAGCACCACAGTTGCTGAAATAGGTAGACACCAGAGTGGTTAGACATGGCACCACAGTTGCTGAAATAGGTAGACACCAGAGTGGTTAGACATGGCACCACAGTTGCTGATGCTGAAATAGGTAGACACCAGAGTGGTTAGACATGGCACCACTGTTGCTGATGCTGAAATAGGTAGACACTAGAGTGGTTAGACATGGCACCACAGTTGCTGAAATAGGTAGACACCAGAGTGGTTAGACATAGCACCACAGTTGCTGAAATAGGTAGACACCAGAGTGGTTAGACATGGCACCACAGTTGCTGAAATAGGTAGACACCAGAGTGGTTAGACATAGCACCACAGTTGCTGAAATAGGTAGACACCAGAGTGGTTAGACATGGCACCACAGTTGCTGATGCTGAAATAGGTAGACACCAGAGTGGTTAGACATGGCACCACAGTTGCTGATGCTGAAATAGGTAGACACCAGAGTGGTTAGACATGGCACCACAGTTGCTGATGCTGAAATAGGTAGACACCAGAGTGGTTAGACATGGCACCACAGTTGCTGAAATAGGTAGACACCAGAGTGGTTAGACATAGCACCACAGTTGCTGAAATAGGTAGACACCAGAGTGGTTAGACATGGCACCACAGTTGCTGAAATAGGTAGACACCAGAGTGGTTAGACATGGCACCACAGTTGCTGATGCTGAAATAGGTAGACACCAGAGTGGTTAGACATGGCACCACTGTTGCTGATGCTGAAATAGGTAGACACTAGAGTGGTTAGACATGGCACCACTGTTGCTGAAATAGGTAGACACCAGAGTGGTTAGACATGGCACCACAGTTGCTGAAATAGGTAGACACCAGAGTGGTTAGACATGGCACCACAGTTGCTGATGCTGAAATAGGTAGACACCAGAGTGGTTAGACATAGCACCACTGTTGCTGATGCTGAAATAGGTAGACACCAGAGTGGTTAGACATGGCACCACAGTTGCTGAAATAGGTAGACACCAGAGTGGTTAGACATGGCACCACAGTTGCTGAAATAGGTAGACACCAGAGTGGTTAGACATGGCACCACAGTTGCTGATGCTGAAATAGGTAGACACCAGAGTGGTTAGACATGGCACCACAGTTGCTGATGCTGAAATAGGTAGACACCAGAGTGGTTAGACATGGCACCACAGTTGCTGATGCTGAAATAGGTAGACACTAGAGTGGTTAGACATGGCACCACTGTTGCTGAAATAGGTAGACACCAGAGTGGTTAGACATGGCACCACAGTTGCTGATGCTGAAATAGGTAGACACCAGAGTGGTTAGACATGGCACCACAGTTGCTGATGCTGAAATAGGTAGACACCAGAGTGGTTAGACATGGCACCACAGTTGCTGAAATAGGTAGACACCAGAGTGGTTAGACATGGCACCACAGTTGCTGATGCTGAAATAGGTAGACACCAGAGTGGTTAGACATGGCACCACAGTTGCTGATGCTGAAATAGGTAGACACCAGAGTGGTTAGACATGGCACCACAGTTGCTGATGCTGAAATAGGTAGACACCAGAGTGGTTAGACATGGCACCACAGTTGCTGAAATAGGTAGACACCAGAGTGGTTAGACATAGCACCACAGTTGCTGAAATAGGTAGACACCAGAGTGGTTAGACATGGCACCACAGTTGCTGAAATAGGTAGACACCAGAGTGGTTAGACATGGCACCACAGTTGCTGATGCTGAAATAGGTAGACACCAGAGTGGTTAGACATGGCACCACTGTTGCTGATGCTGAAATAGGTAGACACTAGAGTGGTTAGACATGGCACCACTGTTGCTGAAATAGGTAGACACCAGAGTGGTTAGACATGGCACCACAGTTGCTGATGCTGAAATAGGTAGACACCAGAGTGGTTAGACATGGCACCACTGTTGCTGATGCTGAAATAGGTAGACACTAGAGTGGTTAGACATGGCACCACAGTTGCTGAAATAGGTAGACACCAGAGTGGTTAGACATGGCACCACTGTTGCTGATGCTGAAATAGGTAGACACCAGAGTGGTTAGACATGGCACCACAGTTGCTGATGCTGAAATAGGTAGACACCAGAGTGGTTAGACATGGCACCACAGTTGCTGATGCTGAAATAGGTAGACACCAGAGTGGTTAGACATGGCACCACAGTTGCTGATGCTGAAATAGGTAGACACCAGAGTGGTTAGACATGGCACCACAGTTGCTGATGCTGAAATAGGTAGACACCAGAGTGGTTAGACATGGCACCACAGTTGCTGATGCTGAAATAGGTAGACACCAGAGTGGTTAGACATGGCACCACAGTTGCTGAAATAGGTAGACACCAGAGTGGTTAGACATGGCACCACAGTTGCTGAAATAGGTAGACACCAGAGTGGTTAGACATGGCACCACAGTTGCTGATGCTGAAATAGGTAGACACCAGAGTGGTTAGACATGGCACCACAGTTGCTGAAATAGGTAGACACCAGAGTGGTTAGACATGGCACCACAGTTGCTGATGCTGAAATAGGTAGACACCAGAGTGGTTAGACATGGCACCACAGTTGCTGATGCTGAAATAGGTAGACACCAGAGTGGTTAGACATGGCACCACTGTTGCTGATGCTGAAATAGGTAGACACCAGAGTGGTTAGACATGGCACCACAGTTGCTGATGCTGAAATAGGTAGACACCAGAGTGGTTAGACATGGCACCACAGTTGCTGATGCTGAAATAGGTAGACATTAGAGTGGTTAGACATGGCACCACAGTTGCTGATGCTGAAATAGGTAGACACCAGAGTGGTTAGACATGGCACCACAGTTGCTGAAATAGGTAGACACCAGAGTGGTTAGACATGGCACCACAGTTGCTGATGCTGAAATAGGTAGACACCAGAGTGGTTAGACATGGCACCACAGTTGCTGAAATAGGTAGACACCAGAGTGGTTAGACATGGCACCACAGTTGCTGATGCTGAAATAGGTAGACACCAGAGTGGTTAGACATGGCACCACAGTTGCTGATGCTGAAATAGGTAGACACCAGAGTGGTTAGACATGGCACCACAGTTGCTGATGCTGAAATAGGTAGACACCAGAGTGGTTAGACATGGCACCACAGTTGCTGAAATAGGTAGACACCAGAGTGGTTAGACATGGCACCACAGTTGCTGATGCTGAAATAGGTAGACACCAGAGTGGTTAGACATGGCACCACAGTTGCTGAAATAGGTAGACACCAGAGTGGTTAGACATGGCACCACAGTTGCTGATGCTGAAATAGGTAGACACCAGAGTGGTTAGACATGGCACCACAGTTGCTGATGCTGAAATAGGTAGACACCAGAGTGGTTAGACATGGCACCACAGTTGCTGAAATAGGTAGACACCAGAGTGGTTAGACATAGCACCACAGTTGCTGAAATAGGTAGACACCAGAGTGGTTAGACATGGCACCACTGTTGCTGATGCTGAAATAGGTAGACACCAGAGTGGTTAGACATAGCACCACAGTTGCTGAAATAGGTAGACACCAGAGTGGTTAGACATGGCACCACTGTTGCTGATGCTGAAATAGGTAGACACCAGAGTGGTTAGACATGGCACCACTGTTGCTGAAATAGGTAGACACCAGAGTGGTTAGACATGGCACCACTGCTGCTGATGCTGAAATAGTTAGACACTAGCATGGTGTTTAAAGAAAGCAAATACATCACCGACAAACAATGATGTTTATTAGTGCTTTTGGTGCGTAATAAGGAATCACAATGTTTTTTTTATGAAAATTGAAACATCACTACCATTCTTTAAAATGATATTCTCTCACCCATTTCTTTAAATCTATACTTTGCTGTATAAAATGTGGTCAATGGTTTGAGAATGTGTGTGTGTGGGGGGGGGGGGATAAGATGAGCAAAGCCAAGAAATAATATAGAGATGTTGTGGCCATAGAAAAGGTTGTCGCTTTACCTACTTTTTTTTACTGTCGTCTTGGTGGTAATGATGACTGCTGAGAATGACCATACCGTGATTCAGTTTTTTAAACGTTTGATAGTCATTTCAGAAATATACACTAATAATTGTTAATTTTGTGTATTATTCAAACATACCGATCTAATTTTAACAATGGACTATTAGTGTTTGATGCAAGCTTGCCATTTGGACATATTTTTGTCTAATCACTGAGAATATTGAGCAGAACATAATAAAAGTATGCAAAACGTGAATTGCTTTATTTAATATTGTGGTAAACTTACTCAAAAGTACTGTAAAATATAGAAAATTATATATTGTGTCCAACTAAAATAATTTCATTAAATTTTTAAAAAGCATGCAGGATAAAAACAAAACATACAAAAAATAACTTGATCGAGACAACAGCTAACTGAGCCCGCCCTTTTAGCTCGCCATGTAATTGAATGGAGATAAATCTACTGAACGGCAGTGAACGGTCAATCGCATCACAACAACACTCCTTAAAAACTAACCCACCGTATCACTGAAAATCAATTATATCATTGTAGCCATTTAAAAACAAACGCGTTTTTTCACAAATCATTTTCTAGGCTAGTGATTAAATTTGATAAATAAAATTGGTATCAAATTAAAGGTAAATAAATGTAGTTTTTTCATTCTTTAAGTCATCTTGAACAATAATGAAGTTTAAAGTCTTAGGTGACAGTTTAAAATCTTAGGTGACAGTGTAAAATCTTAGGTGACAGTTTAAAATCTTAGGTGACAGTGTAAAATCTTAGGTGACAGTTTAAAATCTTAGGTGACAGTTTAAAATCTTAGGTGACAGTTTAAAGTCTTAGGTGGCAGTTTAAAGTCTTAGGTGACAGTTTAAAATCTTAGGTGACAGTTTAAAATCTTAGGTGACAGTTTAAAGTCTTAGGTGACAGTTTAAAATCTTAGGTGACAGTTTAAAATCTTAGGTGACAGTTTAAAGTCTTAGGTGACAGTTTAAAGTCTTAGGTGACAGTTTAAAGTCTTAGGTGACACCCTGCCATAAGAGATGTTACGTCACAGTGGTAGGAGGTGCTTAAAAAGGTAGTTAGGCATACTCCCATCACGTTAATTAGCCACCGGTCATTTTACAAATGTCATTACCACCAGTTTAATTACCCCCTGTGAATTAAACCACCTTTCAGGACATCAATCCGACCCAAAAACTGCAATGCTTACACTCTGACAGTGATGGTGTAGCTGCAATGGCCGTAACATATGTGGAAAATGTTATGTACCACTTTCTTGTACTTCTTTTTCATTGGATTTTTTTCAATTACATTTCTGTTTAATGGTTTGAACAGTGATAATGATATATTTTTTTTTAATATGATATTGAAGAAAAATGTAACAATTTTAAAACCAATCTTGTATAAGAAAAAGTTACCAAAGGCAAAGAGAGTCAGAGCTGTATACATCAGCCAGGGCACCGTGGCAAACGCCATCAACAGGAAGGATGGGATGAGAATCACGATCCCCTAAATTAAAGAAAAATAATTTGGCTAGAATGGTGGATGAAATGAGAACCAATATCCCCTAAATTAAAGAAAATTAATTTGGCTAGAATGGTGGATGAAATGAGAACCAATCTCCCCTAAATTAAATAAAAATATTTTGGCTAGAATGGTGGGTGAAATAAGAACCAATATCCCCTAAATTAAAGAAAATTAATTTGGCTAGAATGGTGGATGAAATGAGAATCAATATCCCCTAAATTAAAGAAAATTAATTTGGCTAGAATGGTGGATGAAATGAGAACCAATATCCCCTAAATTAAAGAAAAATAATTTGGCTAGAATGGTGGATGAAATGAGAATCACGATCCCCTAAATTAAAGAAAAATAATTTGGCTAGAATGGTGGATGAAATGAGAATCAATATCCCCTAAATTAAAGAAAATAATTTGGCTAGAATGGTGGATGAAATAAGAATCAATATCCCCTAAATTAAAGAAAAATAATTTGGCTAGAATGGTGGGTGAAATAAGAATCAATATCCCCTAAATTAAAGAAAAATAATTTGGCTAGAATGGTGGATGAAATAAGAATCAATATCCCCTAAATTAAAAAAAAAAAATTTGGCTAGAATGGTGGATGAAATGAGAATCAATATCCCCTAAATTAAAGAAAATAATTTGGCTAGAATGGTGGATGAAATGAGAACCAATATCCCCTAAATTAAAGAAAAATAATTTGGCTAGAATGGTGGGTGAAATAAGAACCAATATCCCCTAAATTAAAGAAAAATAATTTGGCTAGAATGGTGGATGAAATGAGAATCACGATCCCCTAAATTAAAGAAAAATAATTTGGCTAGAATGGTGGATGAAATGAGAATCAATATCCCCTAAATTAAAGAAAATAATTTGGCTAGAATGGTGGATGAAATAAGAATCAATATCCCCTAAATTAAAGAAAAATAATTTGGCTAGAATGATGGATGAAATAAGAATCAATATCCCCTAAATTAAAGAAATATAATTTGGCTAGAATGGTGGATGAAATGAGAATCAATATCCCCTAAATTAAAGAAAAATAATTTGGCTAGAATGGTGGATGAAATAAGAATCAATATCCCCTAAATTAAAAAAAAAAAATTTGGCTAGAATGGTGGATGAAATGAGAATCAATATCCCCTAAATTAAAGAAAAATAATTTGGCTAGAATGGTGGATGAAATGAGAATCAATATCCCCTAAATTAAATAAAAATAATTTGGCTAGAATGATGGATGAAATGAGAATCAATATCCCCTAAATTAAAAAAAATATATAAATGGCTAGAATGGTGGGTGAAATTAGACTCAATATCCCCTGAATTTAAAAAATAATGGACACCAGCGAGAAAAGTCTCAAAGGTAATTGAGAGGTGCATAAATTAATTTAAAAATCTTGCACGGCGTAGTTACAATTAAAATGGTTATAAAATCCTGTCTGTCTGGTTTTTTTCGGACTTTACTAAAGATTGGATGTATTTGATGTTTTTAATATTTTCGGTAACTAAATAAAAATTTTAAAAAAAGCAAAAACAATTTGGTTTTCACGTGTAATGGCGACATAAACAATGGCCGCCATAAATTTTATTGTACACATTGTAAGCTAAAAATAGAAAAAAATAGGTCATGGTGTTTAAATTTGCATAGTTATTTAAAAACTTGATCTGCAAAGTTTTGTAAACAAAATAACTATGAAGTGGGGCTGTCAGAAATCGATCACGGAGTTCCTTTACAGCCAATCAATGTTTGTCTTACAGAAGTGAAACATCGGGTTATAACTTAGGCTTGATGAAAATAAATAGAAATGTAGCCTTAAACTCAACAAATTATTTTCAAGTTCTCTGGATCTGCAACTTGTATAGCATTGATTCTAAAAATATTAAATTTTTGAATTAATTTTAGGCTTAAGTTTTTAATAAAATTTTATCATTTATTATTTTTATGGTCCTAAATCTAAAAAAGCACATTTTTATTCCATGTCAACAACATTACGGAAGGAATCTCGTCAACTCGCTGGTGTCCATTTAGCTAAAATGAAGGATGAAATGAAAAGAGAAATGAAGTGTTGGTAATAATCTGGGATGGTAAAAATGTATGTTGTTAGTTACATGTGAAGCTATCTTGGCTTCTTTTCCTGGTGTTATTCTTCTTGTGTATCCACCTGAAAAAAATAACGCACCAAGCTCAGATCTTGTCCCAGTAAACTACCAGATCATGTCCCAGTGCAGATCATGTCCCAGTACAGATCATGTCCCAGTACAGATCATGTCCCAGTACAGATCATGTCCCAGTACAGATCATGTCCCAGTACAGATCATGCCCCAGTACAGATCATGTCCCAGTACAGATCATGTCCCAGTACAGATCATGTCCCAGTACAGATCATGTCCCAGTACAGATCATGTCCCAGTACAGATCATGTCCCAGTACAGATCATGTCCCAGTACAGATCATGTCCCAGTACAGATCATGCCCCAGTAAGGTAAGATCCCCTTACCTTGCACTAGTGCCATCACAGTTCCAATGTAAAAAAACATTTTGCCCTGCTGCATGCTGTAAATTTTAAAAATACAGCCAATCAGAAAATATTTTAATTTGCTAAAATCACATACAAAACTACAGATGCAAAATTACACAATCACTGAAACCCTACTGGATATATTCACATATTAAGATTCATACTAGATCTAGGTTACATATAAAGACCCAGGTAATAGAAGCAAGTACCCAGGTTATTGTAGCAGACCCAGGTAATGACAGCAGAACCAGGTAATGACAGCAGAACCAGGTAATGACAGCAGAACCAGGTAATGACAGCAGAACCAGGTAATGACAGCAGAACCAGGTAATGACAGCAGAACCAGGTAATGACAGCAGAACCAGGTAATGACAGCAGAACCAGGTAATGACAGCAGAACCAGGTAATGACAGCAGAACCAGGTAATGACAGCAGAACCAGGTAATGACAGCAGAACCAGGTAATGACAGCAGAACCAGGTAATGACAGCAGAACCAGGTAATGACAGCAGAACCAGGTAATGACAGCAGAACCAGGTAATGACAGCAGAACCAGGTAATGACAGCAGAACCAGGTAATGACAGCAGAACCAGGTAATGACAGCAGAACCAGGTAATGACAGCAGAACCAGGTAATGACAGCAGAACCAGGTAATGACAGCAGAACCAGGTAATGACAGCAGAACCAGGTAATGACAGCAGAACCAGGTAATGACAGCAGAACCAGGTAATGACAGCAAGTACCAAGGTAATGAAAACAAAGACCCAGCTAATGACAGCAAAGACCCAGCTAATGACAGCAAAGACCCAGCTAATGACAGCAAAGACCCAGCTAATGACAGTAGTTTTCTATCAGTTACCAACCTGGAATAATGAAACCTGTTGTGCATGAGAAATGGTAGGGTAAACTCCAGTCCAGCGTAAACAAACAAAAAAATAAAATAAATTCTACCGAGCTTTTGAACTTTGGAGGATTCTAGATAAGGAAAAAAAGGGGTAAAAATATGAAAACAAAACAAATCAATTAATGTAGCATCATACTTTTATTAAAAACAAATTCATAAAATGTTTTGTTTACTTAAAAAACAAACATCCCACGGCCGCTGTCTAGTTGTTTGAACGGTCATAAAGGTTGCTGTCTAGTTGTTTGAACGGTCATAAAGGTTGCTGTCTAGTTGTTTGAACGGTCATAAAGGTTGCTGTCTAGTTGTTTGAACGGTCATAAAGGTTGCTGTCTAGTTGTTTGAATTGTCATAAAGGTTGCTGTCTAGTTGTTTGAATTGCCATAAAGGTTGCTGTCTAGTTGTTTGAATTGTCATAAAGGTTGCTGTCTAGTTGTTTGAATTGTCATAAAGGTTGCTGTCTAGTTGTTTGAATTGTCATAAAGGTTGCTGTCTAGTTGTTTGAATTGTCATAAAGGTTGCTGTCTAGTTGTTTGAATTGTCATAAAGGTTGCTGTCTAGTTGTTTGAATTGTCATAAAGGTTGCTGTCTAGTTGTTTGAATTGTCATAAAGGTTGCTGTCTAGTTGTTTGAATTGTCATAAAGGTTGCTGTCTAGTTGTTTGAATTGCCATAAAGGTTGCTGTCTAGTTGTTTGAATTGTCATAAAGGTTGCTGTCTAGTTGTTTGAATTGTCATAAAGGTTGCTGTCTAGTTGTTTGAATTGCCATAAAGGTTGCTGTCTAGTTGTTTGAATTGTCATAAAGGTTGCTGTCTAGTTGTTTGAATTGTCATAAAGGTTGCTGTCTAGTTGTTTGAATTGCCATAAAGGTTGCTGTCACATTATTAATCTTTGTTTAATATAAAGATTGCTAAAAAAAAAGACTGGAAATGATAGCAAACAAAATAAACAAGCTGGAAAAAAAAAGCAAAATCAGATTTGGCTAAAATAGAAGCAGTAAAAAGTCTAAAAATTAAAAACTATTTCAGATGGTGACAGGTTACCTACCAGATGGTGACAGGTTACCTACCTGATGGTGACAGGTGACAGGTTACCTACCAGATGGTGACAGGTTACCTACCAGATGGTGACAGGTTACCTACCAGATGGTGACAGGTGACAGGTTACCTATCAGATGGTGACAGGTTACCTACCTGATGGTGACAGGTGACAGGTTACCTACCAGATGTTGACAGGTGACAGGTTACCTACCAGATGGTGACAGGTGACAGGTTACCTACCAGATGGTGACAGGTTACCTACCAGATGGTGACAGGTTACCTACCAGATGGTGACAGGTTACCTACCTGATGGTGACAGGTTACCTACCAGATGGTGACAGGTGACAGGTTACCTACCAGATGGTGACAGGTTCTGGACAGAAGAAAACTTGAATAAGGCCACAGGGCTGATGTACTGGGCTGCATGAGACAGTAGACTCTTGGCACTTAACTGTAGGCAAGACACAAGACTTCATGGTGAATTTTCACAAGGAACTACTAGACACAAGACTTCATGGTGACTAGATAGGGAACTACTAGACATAAGGGAACATATTGGTATATTACAGTTTATGTGGTGACAATGTTGAAAACTATTATCAAACAGCTGACTTTAAACTGGTTGTGTATGCTATGGATAACACTATGTGTTAACTTTGATACTTACCCTCTTTAAACTGGTTGTGTATGCTATGGATAACGCTATGTGTTAACTTTGATACTTACCCTCTTTAAACTGGTTGTGTATGCTATGGATAACGCTATGTGTTTACTTACCCTCTTGCTGGCTGGCAAGGTTTCTGGCAGATATAAATATACATAGACAATATCTATGAGGGAGAGGCAGAGAGAGAACAGGGCGGGTGTGAGGGAGGGCACGGATGCCTCACTGTCTTTTGTCAGGATGGAGAAGGCCGCTCCTATAGTTGGTCCAAACACAAACCCTATTGAAAAGGCTATTCCTATCAGAGCCTGTGGAAAGGAAATTGTGACAGTGTTGGGTTGATTAAATTGTGACATTTTGATTAAATTGTGACAATCCAGTGTATTGGGTTAGTTAAATTGTGACAGTCCAGTATTGGGTTAATTAAATTGTGACATTCTGATTAAACTGTGACAGTCCAGTATTGGGTTAATTAAATTGTGACATTCTGATTAAACTGTGACAGTCCAGTATTGGGTTGATTAAATTGTGACATTCTGGTTAAATTGTGACATTCTGATTAAATTGTGACATTTTTATTAAATTGTGACAATTCAGTGTATTGGGTTAATTAAATTCTGACAGTCCAGTATTGGGTTGATTAAATTGTGACAGTCCAGTATTGGGTTAATTAAATTGTGACAGCTAACTTCTAAATTCAAGCCTACATGTAATACATTAGTTCTCTAATGTTACTTTTCAGAACAGAATGCTATGCATTAGTCTCAAGTCTCTTAGAAACAATTATGAATTGCTGGAAGATTCAAGTAGCAGAGCCATGAATTGCTGGAACATTCTATGTACAACTAATCAACTCATAGCTCCATTGTGGCAGATTAGAAACACATTTTCCTCCCAATGCCATTACTAAAGTATTTGATGAATTCAATCTATTTTACTATCAAACCTGTCCATATTAGAAGCACAAATTCCAAAGGATTTTATCTTGTGCTTAAATGGGTAAATGAGTATGAACCAGGCATTATGTCAAGAGCTGACAGACAGACAACTATAGACTGGCAATACTTACCATTCCCTTCCCACGCTGTTGTGGTGTGGAGACATCCGTCACAATGGCTGTAGCTAAGCTAACATTACTCTTGCTTATTCCGCCAACTATTCTTGCGATGACAAACATGAGAAAGTTGTTTGATAAAGCCCATAACAGATATGACAAAGCGATCCCAAACTTAAAAAAAAAGAATGAACACAGCCTGTATTTATTTGGAATTGAAGACATTCTACAACAGTAAACAAACTCAAAAAAAAATAATACTTCAAAATATGTATGAGGTGTGTAAAGAATTTCTCACCAAACTGAGGAGCATCATTGGCCGTCTGCCATACACATCAGACACTGCACCAATGATGGGTGATGTCAGAAACTGAAGCATTGAGAACAGGGATCCAATCAGGCCTGGAACATTCATGGCACACAAATCAGAAACAACTAACCAGTTGTTTTTTTTTTAAATCTCTTCTCCATTTTCCCAACCTATCACCAAATAAAATTATTTCAATCTACCACTGAATAAAACTATTTCAACCTACCACCAAATAAAACTGAATTCCATCTTGGTGTGTCTGGAGCCCCCACAAAGAGACTGAACCTAGAGACGCCACTTTTCAATGCAGAAAACAGGCCAGTCTAAATAATAATAATTTATTACATACTTATACTTCTAAACAGTAAACAACTTCTACTTCTAAACAACTTCTACTTCTAAACTGTAATGTTTCGCTACAAACATGGTCATTGTTCCTGTAATGTTAAACTACAAACCTGGTCAGCTACTCTAATGTTAAACTACAAAACTGGTCAGTTACTCTAATGTAAAACTACAAACCTGGTCAATGTTACTGTAATGTTAAACTACAAACCTGGTCAGTTACTCTAATGTTAAACTACAAACCTGGTCATTGTTACTGTAATGTTAAACTACAAACCTGGTCATTGTTACTGTAATGTTAAACTACAAACCTGGTCAGTTACTCTAATGTTAAACTACAAACCTGGTCAATGTTACTGTAATGTTAAACTACAAACCTCGTCATTGTTACTGTAATGTTAAACTACAAACCTGGTCATTGTTACTGTAATGTTAAACTACAAACCAGGTCAATGTTACTGTAATGTTAAACTACAAACCTGGTCATTGTTACTGTAATGTTCCAACAATCCTGGCAATAATGGAAGTATCACAGTAAAAGCCAATAAATCAAGAATAAGGGAGACAAATACTGTATAAAATATTTTGTTGCTTCCATTTCCTGCCATTATTTTGGCTGAATTTGTCTTTAATATGTTTTGACCATCTGCATCAAGAGTTTTTCCACTTCTTGTTTTCATTTCTGAAAATACAAACCAAAGAATCAAAGACAACATTTGGCATATGATTTTAAAAAGATTTCTTTTCGCTCTGGTCCATTTATTTTGTATGTAGGTGGGTATTTTGATCCATTTATAAAAGAGCAATGTATATAGGTGGGTATTTTGATCCATTTATAAAAGAGCAATGTATATAGGTGGGTATTTTGATCCATTTATAAAAGAGCAATGTATATAGGTGGGTATTTTGATCCATTTATAAAAGAGCAATGTATATAGGTGGGTATTTTGATCCATTTATAAAAGAGCAATGTATATAGGTGGGTATTTTGATCTATTTATAAAAGAGCAATGTATAGGCCTATAGGTGGGTATTTTGATCCATTTTTAAAAGAGCAATGTATGACACCTCATCAGGGGCGTAGCGAGGGGGGTGCGGGGGTGCGGACCGCACCGGGTGACACCATTTAGGGGGGTGACACCAAGGCAAAAAATAGCAAAATATATAGAGAAAAACTTGGGGGGGGGGGTGCAAATCGAAAGTTTGAGGGGGGGGGTGCAAATCGAAAACTTGAGGGGGGTGCAAATCGAAAACTTGAGGGGGGTGCAAATCGAAATTTTGAGGGGGGGGGGGTGTGCAAATCAAAAACTTGAGGGGGGGTGCAAATCGAAAATTTGAAAGTTTGTCCCCGGGAAGGGTCGCTAAGCCTCTGGGGGGTGACACCATTAAGTGCCGCACCAGGTGACACCCGACCTCGCTACGCCACTGCACCTCATCACATCTCCCATGACAATGCAATAAAATATACTTTTCAATATAATTAGATTGAAAATAACTGATAGAAAATTATTTTAAATTAATGTAGTATGTAGCCAAATGATCTTCTATTGTCTATTATTATTTCCATTATTAAATATATAAAAAATTAGTGATGTAGTAGTAGTATTACTAATTAGTAACATTCAATTATATCAGTTTTAACACTGAGTGCTACACCACACTTGACCATCATACCTTGTAGTTGTAGACTACACCTAATGTCAGATCTATGTCTATACTCTACTAGTCTATGGTATAGTGGCTGGCCTATTGAGTACTGACTAAGTTTGAAGTTACAATCAGTGAGTAACTATCTAAAATCTATCGAGTCTATAGTTATAGATTTCGGATTTAGAATTATAAGATTAGAATTGTAGTGCTAGTAGATCTAGGCCCTTAATTAGTAATTAGGCCTAGTTATTAATTAAGTTATAAGCTATACAGTTAAATTAGTTATTCGGGCTTTTTAAATGTATTAATATTATTTTTCATCATATTGTGCCTATCTTGTAATTTTAAAATACCACGTAGTCAGGTTTCTTCCGGGTGTCGGGTCAAAGGGCATATTGACAAATGAAAACATAACCCCTGTTGTGTGTAGGAGTGACTGCTGGTGTAGACTAATTTGTAAAAAGTTCTAGATACTAGATCTAGATCTAGTATCTATTATACTAAACTAACTAAACAGTTGAGGAGAGGTTTCCACTTTTTAAAAGATCACTTTCTGACATGTTACAAATAGAATCTATATATATATATCTATAATATAAGCGGGCAAGTAGTGTGTCAGTCCTTCCTTCCTTCCTTCCGTCATCGCTATAGATTTTGGAACCATAAAAGTAATCATCGCACCATATAGTGCTTTGCAGTGCATCGCATTGTCTTGTTATAGAGTAGGGTTTGTTTATATAACGACATAGAGCTATTTTATAATTTCCACTGTTTGTACAATTTTGCATAACGTAAAGAGAATATTAAATACACGCACATTGCTAAAACATATTAAAAGGATCAATGTCAAATATCGTTTTCGTTAATATTCCTAGAAAAAGTGGATACATTTTAATAACATAATAACTGTAGGTTAGAAAAATCTAATTAAACTGTTTAGTAATTTTGCCAAGGGAGGTATTTTAAAAATAAATTGAACTCACGCTAAAAATGTGAATGCAAAATCTGCAAGACGGAATAATTGTTGGAATAATATAATTAGCAAAATGAGAATGCAAATTATGCAGACGTGTAAGAGTACATTATTGTTGGAATTATAATTAGCATTGATTGATAAAAGGCTATCTTTTATTTATTTTATTCACTTAATGTACTGTTTACTAATTATAATTTTTAATCAACTATTCTCCATTATTATATTAAGTCATCACGTTCATTAGGTGCGCAATGGTTTTAGTCATTAAACTTTATTGTAAATTTTAAAAAGTACTGAAAAAAATGCATGAATTTATAAAGTGCAATATGGTCGGTAAAACACGGATATTCTAAATACTGCCTTTAATTTATTTTATGCACTGAACGTATTGTTTACTAATTATTATTCTATATTTCGGTTTGCGGACAAGCTAGGGGTTTTATATCAGAGGCGTAGCAAGGGGGGAGGGCATATGTCCCCGGGCGCCGACCTTAGGAGGCGCCAATGTGGGTTGGAAAAAAATTGCGGGGGGGGGGGGGAGGGTGCAAATCGTAAGTTTGAGGAGGGGGGTGCAAACCAAAAGTTTGAGCGGGGGGAATTTTAAATCAAAAGTGTAGCAAATCGAAAGTCTGAGGGGAGGTACAAATCGAAAGTTTGAGGGGGTAGGGTGAAAATTGAAATTTTGAGGGGAGGGAGTGCAAATCGTAAGTTTAAGGGGGGGGGTCAAATCGAAAGTTTGTCCCCGGGCGTCGTAAAGGGTCGCTACGCCTCTGTTTTATAGTCATTCACTGTGTCAGACGCGTCCGCTGGCGCTCGGAAAGGGCGCGATTTGGCGCTACGGGATAGACTGTGAGCAATATGCCTTTATGATTACATTTAAATTGAGTTTATGTTATGAGTGTTGTGTTTGTTTTCTCGTTTGTGTTTTTTTTTTGCGTTTATTTGTGTTGTGTTTAGTTTTGTTCTGTTCCCAACTTGGTACATTTAAAAAAGATTTACCGTGGCGGAGCACGGGATGCAGCTAGTATATATATATATGTATATATATATATATATATATATATATATATATATATATATATATATATATATATATATATATATATATATATATATATATATATATATATATATATATATATATATATATATATATATATATATATATATATATACTAATAAAAGTAAATCTCGCGTCACCAACTAGTCTAAGTCAGATTAAGTCTAAATTAAAAAGATTTTAAAACACTATCAGTAGCTAGTTAAGGACGATTATCCTTCCCCCCCCCCCCCCTCGTGAAAGCAGCCGTCCGTGACGACTTATAATTACCTCCCCTTTGTTTCAAATAGTTTAAAAAGTGATTTATCTGCACCTAATAGCCGTCATTTCTACTGTAAACATTCGGGATGAACCACAGCTCACCTGACAGGTGGGGATGGGGGTGGTAGTGATATGCCTAGAAAGCGGGGTAGGAACGGCTAAGCTGAGTGGTGTCTTGTATGGTCGCCAGAGGCGTAGCGAGGGTGGGGGCGGGGGACACACATGTCCCTGGGCGCCGACCGTAGGGGGCGCCAAAATGGGTTAAAAAAATAAATCGAGATCTTGAGGGTGAGGGGGGATGCAAATCGTAAGCTTGAGGGGGGTGCAAATCGAAAGTTTGTCCCCGGGCGCCGTGAATGGTCGCTACGCCTCTGATGGTCCCCATGAAGAGAATGATATATACGAGCTGACCTGCGACGTAGTATACGCCGCCATCTAGTTGTGTTATTTTCTGCGTATCAACAATTCATAATTTGTAAATTCAACACTACCACAGGCGTTTACAGACAAAGAAAAGATCAATCAGAAATTGTTACCTCCCCTTCGTTTCAAATCGTTTAATACTAAATTATCTGCCCCTAATAGCTGTCACTAATCCGGCTCTACGATTGTAAACATTCGGGGTGAACCACCGGCCACCGCTCACCTGACAGGTGGGGATGAGGGTGGTGGCTAAGCTGCGTGGTGTTTTCTATGGTCTCCATAAATAAAATTATATATATATATATATATATGTGACGAGCGAACATTTATCCTGCCGACAACGCCAATTGTAACGAGCCAACAGTTACCATGCTCGCAACGCCACATGTAATGAGACCTAATTGCCTGTAGTGCCACGTGTTAACGAGTTTAACCACTCATTCTAGACAACATTGACCACAGTATAGATACTCAAGATGCAGGTTCGCTATTGATCCTTTATTACATGAATCAAGAAATGCTTCATAATAACACAATAAATCAACAGGAATGCTTCTCAATAATAGTCTGAATCAACTGACCCCTAACAGTCCTTCACTAGGCTTTATATAACTGAATCCACATGTCTATAATCCTCCTTAACACAATACGGCTAACCCGTTCTATAACCGACTTGACATAGTCACACAGACTGACTGATCTAAGCGAGCGATGAAGATGGAAGAGAGCTCGCTGAAACGGGAAGAGAGAGAACGAGTCCTGCCGTGCCCTCCTATTTATGCCTTGTATCCGTACTCGTCTCCGTACTTGTATTTCTCCGTAATCGATACTTGTACTCGATCTCCGACCACCAGTTGCGTAGTTCAAACGTACAGACCGTAAAATAACATCTGCGTCCTATCCATCAAAGTTGACAGGCCGTCTGAATACCGTTTCCCAAAATAGCACGCGCCGGCTTTGAGGTTGTTATCAGCCCGACCCAATAAGCCACCTGCTATCGGTTGCGTCAGACCAACACTGTGTCTCGGCTTCTCGTTCGTTATCATTTGTAACTGGTAGTTAGGCCTACCCCAGTTACATCCACCCCTGCTTTTTTTGTGTGTTTTCAACCACAAACAACGCCTGGCAGGTGCACTTCCTAAATGTCCATCGCATCATCGTAAAAAAAAAAAATTTATTGTTCCACTCACTGTCCACGACGTTCCATTCGTATACGATTGACAGTTATACCTATTTCACATATCAACTGTGTCTACATCATCTTCCTGAGACACAAAACAGTTCTAGAATTCACATCCACCCTTTCCATTTG